ATATGGGTCACATCATATGTGGCATTTCTGTCTGGTTCTTTTCATTTAATCTCATTTTCCTGTAGTCATGTTAGCATGTGTTGATACTTAGTTTTTTATTCTTTCCATTGTGTCAAGCAAGATGCTGTCCTGGAGTTCACTTTATAGCAGGCTGACTTCTAAGTCACAGAGATCTGCCTCTGCGTCCTGAGTACTGGGGTTAAAGGTGGGGTTAAATTTTAGGGCTGGAGAGATGGCTCAGAGGTTAAGAGCATTGGTTGCACTTCTTCCAGAGGTCCTGAGTTCAATTCCCATCAACCACATAGTGGTTCATTGCCACCTATAATGAAATCTAGTGCCCTCTTCTGGCATTCAGGGCAGGCATACATGTAGGTAGAAACCCTATTCATAATAGAGAAACAAATAAACAATAAATAAATAAAGGTGTGAGCTGCCACTCCCACTCTCTGGCAGTTGTTTACTATTATGTCATAATTTTTTTGACATTTTTGTGTAAATGTTCTTGGTAACAATGAAATTTCATATTACTGTTATATTGTGTATATATAATGAATGTATGTGGGCATACATGTGCCACAGTGATCTTGCAACAGTCCCCAGGTAACTTTTGGGAGTTCTTTCCTTTTACTATTGCTTCCTGGGGTTAAACTCAAGTATGTTGGGCTTGCACGGCAAGTGCTTGTATCTGATGAGCTATTTTTTCCTGGTATTTTTGAGACAGGGTCTCACTTTAGTTTTAAATGTCCTGGAATTTGCTGTGTAGCCAGGCTGGCCTCAGACTCATAGAGATCCACCTGTTCTGCCTACTGAGTGCCGAGATTAAAGATGTGCACCACTATGCCTGGCTCCAATGAGCTATCCTGCCATACATACATACATACATGTGTATATATAAGTATATTTACATATGTGTGTACATGTACGTGTATACATACATGCAAACACATGCACATGTGGTAAATTTTGGGGGGGGAGTCAGACTTGTACCTTTTACCCCAGACTGGCCTGAAACTTCCAACATTTTAGGTCAAGCTAGTCTTCAACCACTGATCTTCCTGTCTCAGCCTCTCAAGTGACAAGATTATAGGAATGCACAACTATGCCCCTTTTAAAAATTATTTTTAGGGGGGTAATACTTTTACTTTAGCATATGTAGTTATAGTTTGAGGGATGATGGAGGTGTGTAAAACTGTCATTTGTCCACTCCATAAACATATTTAGAGTATTGGGTTACAAATAAAAATAGTTTGTACTGGGCTGGGCCGTGGTGGTGCACGCCTTTAGTCCCAGTGCTTGGGAGGCAGAGGCAGGCAGATCTCTGTGAGTTTGAGACCAGCCTGGTCTACAAGAGCTAGTTCCAGGACAGCCTCCAAGGCCACAGAGAAACCCTGTCTGGAAAACCCCACCCCCCCAAAAAAAGTCTGTAAGCTCTTTAATGTAGAATAAATGTGGTCATGTTTATTTCATGCACTTTTCTGATTCAGAAAAAGGCTGTAGTAAGTGGCTTTAGGTGGAAGACTGGCATGAGTCTGAGGAAAATATGCCTCAGAGTCACTTACCCCACTGGAAAAATAATTGAAATGATTCATGCTGCATCTTCCATCGGAACCCTTCACATGTGTAATTCCCCTCCGAAGCTATTCTCAGGCTTTTTCCAACCAATCAAAACAGCTCAGGACAGAAACGCATAGTTGATAAGCTCACCTGAGCTTTAGGTCAGCCACCCTCACTCCATGCAGCAATCCTGCTTTCCCGCCATGGGACTACGTGGTCTCACTGTAGCATTTTCATCCCCCTCTGAAGTGACAGAGACTTAGGAAGACTAGAGGGGAACCTGCACAGTCGTGATTTCAGGAGCCTAAGGGAAGATCATCAGGTGAAGGTGCTTGCCTCTAAGCCTTGACAGCCTCAGTTTGATCCCCGGGACCCAAACTGTGAAAGGAGAGAACTGACTCCTTCAGGTTGTCCCATGATCTCTGTATGTACACCACGGTTTACTTGGTGTGGGAGTGCACAAACATACACACACAAATAAACGAATGTAAAAGTTGGGTGGTGGTGGTGCACAACTTTAATCCTAGCACTAGGGAGGCAGATGTGGGGGGATCTCTGTGCGTTTGAAGGAAGGCAGGTATATATAGTAAGTTCCAGGCCAACCAGATCTATACAGTTAGACTCTGTTTCAAAAAAGGAAAAAAACAGGAGTATTTTTGCCAATGAGCTCAGTGGGTAAGGCATTTTCGTACAGGAATGAGGACCTGGGTTTGAGTCCCCAGAGCCCGTGTACTGCTAGTGTGGTTGTGTGCATCTGCCCCGCCTCTGTCGGGCCAGTGTTGCCACAGTGAGATGGGAGGTAGAGACCAGAGAATCTTGGGAAACCCACAGGCCAGGGCCTGCTGTAAGCAGGGATGAGAAACCAAGAGACCCTGCCTCAAGGTGAGGCAGAATCTGACAGCTGAGGTGGCCCTCTGACCTCAGTGGGGTGTCACGGTGTACTGCACCCACACTGAGTACACTTACCCCACTTACACTCCTCAGTCAGGTCAAAGTAAGGACACATTTAAGGAATGTCTTAGAGGTGAAAACCATCGTCGTAAATTGCAGTAATGGATGGAAAAGAGCTCATCCTTTTTTATGACTAAATAAGAGTCATTGTGGGGCTCTACCACATTTTATCCATGCATTCATCAGTTGCTAGGCATCTGGCTTTATTGCCTTTTTGGTTGTATGGCAAATGCTGCTATTTATATTGCATATAGAGAGGTTTTGTGTGGATGTATATTTTCATGCTGTTGGATATAAACCTAGAATTAGTATTTCTGAGTTATGGGAATGTTTTAAAATATTTATTATGTATACAGTGCCTTCATGTGTACTTCCATGACAGGGCATCCTTATAGATGGTTGTGAGCTATCATGTGGTTGCTGGGAATTGAACTCAGGACCTCTGGAAAAGCAGCTAGTGCTTGTAACCTCTAAGCCATTTCTCAAGCTCCAAGTCATGGGAATTTTGTATATAATATTTTATTACATTTTAAAATTATTATTATTATTGGTTTTTTTGAGACAGGGTTTCTCTGTGTAGCTTTGGAGCCTGTTTTGGAACTTGCTTTGTAGACCAGGTTGGCCTCAAACTCATGGAGATCCGCCTGCCTCTGCCTCTTGAATGGTGGGATAAAAGGTGTGTATCACCATTGCCCAGCACATTTAAAAATTATTTTATGTGTGGTATTTTGTCTGTATGTATGTATGTGCACCTTGTGCATGTTTGGTGCCCATGGATGCCAGAAGAGGGCACTGGAGCCCCTGAAACTAGAATTACAGGTAGTTGTAGGCTGTTGTGTGGGTGCTGGGAACTGAACCTGGGTGGGTCCTCTAAAAGCAGCAAGTGCTCTAAACCTCTGAGCCATCTCTCTAGCCCCAACTTTCCCATGTTTCTTATCTCTCCTTCGTCTTTTCCTCCTTCCTTCCTTCCTTCCTTCCTTCCTTCCTTCCTTCCTTCCTTCCTTCCTTCCTTCCTTCCTTCCTTCCTTCCTTCCTTCCTTCCTACACCCTAACATATACACATCATTGAAAAATAAGCATTTCTATTATTATTATATTTCTTTGGTTTTGGTTTTTTGAGACGGGGGTTTCTCTATTGTTTTGGAGACTGTCCTGGAACTCACTCTGTAGACCAGGCTGGCCGTGAACTCAAAGAGATCCGCCTGCCTCTGCCTCCCGAGTGCTGGAATTAAAGGTGTGCGCCATCAGTGCCGGGCTCCATTTCTATTATTTTTTTGATGTAGCTCAGACTGGCCTCTAACTTACGATTTTTTTCAGTCTCAGTCTCCCTTAGTAGGATTACAGAGATGTGCCACCATACTTGGTTTTTTTTATAGAAATGTTTTAGTGTCACTGTGAGTTCGAGACCAGCCTGGTCTACCGAGCGAGTTCCAGGACAGCCTCCAAAGCCACAGGGAAACCCTGTCTCGAAAAACCAAAAAAAAAAAATGTTTTAGTGGTTGCCGAACTATTTCTAGAATGACTATGCTGTTCTGTGTTCCTGCAAGGTTGTAATTTCTGTTTTTGCCAACACTTGCTAGTACCTTTTTGAGCCTAGACAATTCTGTTGGATAGGGAGAATGCTATCGTTATGGTTTCGATTTTCGTTTCTCCCATGGTGAAGGGTATTATGCAGATTTTCATGGACTTGTTGCTAGTTACAGATCTTTCTGGGAGAAATATCCAAATTCTTGACTTATTTCAGAAAACAATACGTAATATTTATTTTATGTGTATGACTGCTTGACCTGCCTATATGCATTTAAATCACATGCATACCTTATGCCTGTGGTGACTAGAAGAGGGTACTGGAACTCCTGAGGCTGGAGTTACAGACGATTGTGAGCCAAGGCTGGCCTCGAACTCACAGAGATCCACCTGCCTCTGCCTCCCAAGTGCTGGGATTAAAGGCGTGCTCTACCAACGCCCGGCCACATGGTCTTTTCTTAAATCATTTATCTTTCTTTTTAGAAACTATTGCTTAACCCAACAATTACCATGTTTTCTTTTAAGAACTTTATGGCTTTAGCTCTTTATTAATTTTTATTTTTCAGTTGCGTGCGTGTGTGGGTATTTGTAGGTAAATGCAGGTGCCCATGGGCCCAGAAGAGGGCATTTGATCCCCTGGAGCTAGAATTATACAGAGCTTTGAGCTTCTCAGTGTGGGTTCTGAGAACCAAATAGCAAATACTTTTAACTAACAAGCCATTTCGTCAGCCCTGATTTTAGCTTTTTCATGACTACCAAGTTCTTCCACTGAGCGAAGCTTCAGAGGGTCTTCTGAGCGGCTTGCTAAGGGTGGAGCTGTTGTCTGAGAACTTCCTTTTCCATCCTCTTAGACAAGTCAGAAAGGGTCTTGACCCTGGGAAGCATTTTTGTTTTTATAGGAGTGAGTTTTTCAGTTTCTATATTTTATTGTCTTTTCCTTTTTTTTGTTTTTGTTTTTGTTTTTGAAGGTAACAAATGAAGAGGACTTTATTAGGAAGCTGGACTGTAAGCCTGATCAACATCTCAAGGTGGTTTCCATTTTTGGGAATACTGGTGATGGAAAGTCCCATACCCTCAACCACACTTTCTTCTATGGCCGAGAAGTCTTCAAAACCTCTCCTGCTCAGGAGTCCTGCACAGTGGGAGTGTGGGCAGCCTATGACCCAGTCCATAAAGTAGCAGTGATAGACACAGAAGGACTCTTGGGGGCCACCGTGAATCTAAGCCAGAGAACACGGCTGCTGCTAAAGGTCCTGGCCATCTCAGACCTGGTCATCTATCGAACTCATGCAGACCGGCTACACAATGACCTCTTCAAATTCCTTGGGGATGCCTCGGAAGCTTACCTGAAGCACTTTACCAAGGAACTCAAGGCTACCACTGCACGCTGTGGCCTGGATGTTCCCTTATCCACCCTGGGCCCTGCAGTTATTATTTTCCATGAGACTGTGCATACTCAACTTCTGGGTTCTGGTGAGTAGACCGTGCCGTGTCACAGACTGACCTTTTTGGGTGCAAAGATGTGGCTTCTGGGTTGCAACATGGTAATGATGGAATGCCCAGAAAAACTTGTGCCCAGGCAAGACTAAGAAAATATTCCAGGAAGGCTGCAGTAATCAACTATGACAAGGATTAAGACATGCTAGTGACTGGGCAGTGTTGCCTCACACCTTTAATCCCAGCACTTGGGAGGCAGAGGCAGGTGGATCTTTGTGAGTTTGAGGCCAAGCTGGTCTGCAGAGTGTATTTCAGGACAGCCAGGGCTGTTTCATAAGAGAAACCCTGTCTGAAAAAACAAAACAAAAAGACATGCCAGTTGACTCAAGGTCCTTGGAGATTGGGGTCAGATCTGTTTCCCTGGAAAGCTGATAGTGAAAGTTTGATCAGAGCAGGATCAAGAGAGACCAGAAAACCCAGGCAGAGTGATTCATGTCTGTAATTCCAATATTTGGGAACCTGAGGCAGGAGGATTATGAATTTTAGGCCAACCTGAGTTGCATAGTGAGAGCTTGTCACACTGAAACAAAAAGACAGGTATGGTGGTGCATGCCTGTAGGCCCAGCATTCAAGAGCTAGAGGTAGGGAGATGAGTATGTTTAAAGCCATCCTTAACTACATTCTGTCAGAGGCTAGCATAGGCTACATGAAGTCTCAACAAACCAGAAAGGAAGAGATACACACAGGCATTGTCACTCTCACTATTAAGGTTGTGAGTATGTTGGCAAAATGGAAATTGGTAGCTGGTGGCTCGTGAAATTCCTAAGGATTTCCCTTTTTAAATATGTAAGTATTTAAGATACTGGTGTCCTGATGAGATGATTCATGAGAGGGGGTTAAATATGAGAAAGAGACCAGATACCTCCATGCTGGAGGCTCTGGTTGAACCCTGAACACTGCAAAAGAAAAGTGTGATGGTACACACCTTTAATCCCAGCAAAAGTGCTGCAAGTTAGAAGCCGTTGGTCTACACAGTGAGACCCTATTTTAAAATAAAGATGCAAAAGAAAAGAGCAGAAGCAGCTGGAGTGACTTGAGTGGAGGAGTTGGCCTTAAGAACATGTCAGTTCATGTATGTCTACAGGAGAGAGGATGGAGATATATGTGGTGAGTGTGCCTGTAAGTTATTTTGCTTTTTCTGTTTTCTTTGAGAAATATGGAGCAATATTATCAAGTGTAGTAATAGTTAGTAGATGTGGTAGGGATAGTAGCCTGGCCTTTAAAACAATTACAGTGTTCACATCTGTTTATTCAGCCAAGAAAGTACCCATGCCATGTTCTAGGCAGTAAGGTGTAGTAGAGTTAAAAAGCCATACCCTCAGTCTAATTGGAGAGATGTGTAGTTCTTGGTTTTGTAGCACATGTAGGCATTGGAGCTGTGGGAATGCAGAGGAGGTCCCGTGCTTCTTAGTGGGGTCTTGGAAAAAGGAAGAAATACCTGCAAATTGAGTCTTGGATAGGCAGTAAAAGGGAAAAGCATGTTCTGGGAGGGGCACATCCCTGGGAGCTTCCCGGAACGGCTGTATGCAGGGGCTGCAACTGTCCGCAGTAGATTCCTAACTCCAGCATCAGCCCTTGGGTGTGTTCTCTGCCTGCCTTCCAGAGGGCTGGCTCTCTTGAAATAAAAGCTTCATTTATAATTTAGACATCCCAGCTTGTGATATCCCAAGAAAAAAAATCCAGTAGCTGGATATGGGCATATATCCCTGTAATCCTGGCACTCAGGAAACTGAGGCAGGAGGAGGAGCTGAAACGAGGTTAGCCTGAAACAGTGAGACCCTGTTCCAGAAACCAAAAATGAAAATAAATGAAATCTAAACTTCCAAATGTGGTGTTCTGTCTAACCGGTGTCAGTATGGCTGGCCACTAGTTAACCCTCTCCTCACTCTGTGTGTGTGTGAGTGTTCCTGTGTGCACATATACTATATATATTTTTTTTGCATATGCACATGAGCAAAAGCACACACACACACACACACCCTCCCTCCCCACTTGCTCTGCCACCTTTTCTGTGTCCTAACCTTGGCATGTGCTCTGTCTGTCTGGATAGCTCTGCCCCAGCTGGCCACCCAGCTCTCACAGTCAGCTCTTGTCTGGGCTGAGCCTTTCCTGACCCTTGCTATGGTGTGGCTCTTCCCACATCCTAGTGCTGTCACACGTCCTCTCACCTGCACTCCTCTCATCCGGAGTCATCCTGTATGTGCTGACTTGTTTTTGGTGTTTTCCATGAGAAGGCAGAAATATTGCCTCCCCTATTTACGGCTGCATGTGCATTCAAGAGACAGATGACTGTTTGGTGCACAGATGTATGTGTGTCAGTGACAAATGAAGAGTTGTGCCCATCTGAAGCATAGCTTGTTTGCATTAGAGGGAGTTGGAAATACCTGAGGATCAGACCACGGGTGGCCTTGGATCAGTTCTCTGAAGGATCATGGGCGGAGACCTATATAATGTCAGATCTGCATTTCAAAGCACCACCCCTGTCCCCAGGAACAAGTAGAGGAACTTGCCTTGAGTTGGGGAGTCTCCACGATAGACAGGTGGAAGATAAGGGGACTGAGCCATGACAATGGTGGTTACCGGGCAGTGGCAAGACTGGACTGGTTGTTTTGATGGACTTGGGACCAGTTGTTTGTGCTGGAGTCATGACCTTCCAGAGTGAAGGAAGAGACTAAAGGACTGTGAGATAAGGCAAGGAAGCAAGAAATGCTGACCCGGATGTTCCCGTGACCACTCCTTCTAAGTCATTCTGAGTCTTTACAGCCTTAAGGGCAGGTTTAATTGTCAGCTCAGGCTTTTGAAGTAACCAGTCCCTAGAAGCCATCTCTTTTGTGCTGTGTACTGTGTTATGTGTAGCTGCCCCAAATGACAGCACAGAGAACTGCTTGCAATCTGTAACCAAGAAGGTCTTAGCAGAACTGGGGTTGAACCAGGGTCTTTGGATTCTGAAATTCAGAGCCTTTTGGATTTTGAAATTCAGGGCTTCTTTTTTTTTTTTTTTTTTTTTGGTTTTGATTTTTCGAGACAGGGTTTCTCTGTGGCTTTGGAGGCTGTCCTGGAACTCGCTTGGTAGTCCAGGCTGGTCTCGAACTCACAGAGATCCACCTGCCTCTGCCTCCCGAGTGCTGGGATTAAAGGCGTGCGCCACCAACGCGGGGCAATTCAGGGCTTCTTGAAGCATTCAGACAGAGCAAGCTTTTCTGGATAGAAGAGTGCTAGGTAGGAGCTTAGTAGGAAAGTGAATGACAGGTTGACTATTCCTTATTCAAAATGCCTGGGACCAGAAGATCAGAATTTTGTTGTTTGTTTTTTGGAGACAGGGTTTCTCTGTATTGCTTGCTTTGGAGGTTGTCCTGGAACTCGCTCTGTAGACCAGGCTGGCCTTGAACTCACAGAGATCCGCCTGCCTCTGCCTCCTGAGTGCTGGGATTAAAAAGTGTGTACCGCCAACGCCTGGCCAATTTTGCAATGTTTACAAAGCCTTGTGAAAGGAGCATCCTGAGTCTGAAAGTCTGAAATCTGAAGTGTTCTCCTGCTTAGTTTCAGAGGTCAGCTCGACAGAGCCCCATGTTGTCTGAGGGAGTAGCAGTTGGGGGACTGTCTTGATCAGATTGATCTATGGACATTTTCTTGGGATTTATTTTTAAGTGCATGGATGTTTCACCTGCGTATATCTGTGCACCATGCATGTAGTGTCTGTGGGGCTATTAGAGAGCATCATATTCTCTTGGAACTAGAGTTACACAGGGTTGTTGGGCAACCATGTGAGTATTGGGGTTTGAACATGGGTCCTCTGGAAGAGCAATCAATGTTGCTTTTACCACAAGCCATCTCTCTAGCTCATATTTTCTTTTCTTTTTTGTTTGTTTTTTGAGACAGGGTTTCTCTGTATAACAGTTCTGGCTGTCCTGGAACTTTCTTCATAGACCAGGCTGGCCTTGAACTCACAGAGATCCGCCTGCCTCTGCCTCTCAAGTGCTGGGATTAAAGGTGTGCACCACTACCTGGTCTATATTTTCTTTTTTAAAGGTTTATTATGTATACGGTGTTCTGCCTACATGTCTACCTGCAACCCTCTTTCCAGCCCTCGGCCTATGAGTTCTTAAAAAATAAAAATTGTGTGTGGGTGTTTTGTCTATGTGTATACCTATCCACCACATGCATGCCTTGATTCCTGAGGAGGCCAGAAGAGGGTGTCAGACTCCCTAGGAATCAAGTTACAAACATTGTGAGCTGCTGTGTGGGTGCTGGGAAAGGAACCTGTGTCCTTTGAAAGAGCAGCCACTGGTCCATCTCTGCAGCCTCAACCCTGTTTTCTTGCTTGCTAACTGATTAGGAGAGCCTCGCCTGCTGTGGGCAGTACCATCCCTATGCAGGTGCACCTGGGCTGTGTAAGAAAGCAAATTCCTTTTCCCCAAGTTGCTTTTGGCCAGTAACAGAAATCAAGCTAGGATGGTGTTAGAATCATTTCTGAGAGCCGGGTGTTGGTGGTGCATGCCTTTAATCCCAGCAGAGGCAGGTGGATCTCTGAGTTCAAGGCCAGCCTGGTCTACAGAGCGAGTTCCAGGACAGGCTCCAAAGTACACAGTGAAACCCTGACTCGAAAAAAACGAAAAAGAAAAAAGTGTCATTTCTGAGTTAGGATATTCATTTTAGGAGTGCCCTGCCTGGATGCCATTACACAGGCGAGCAGAAGGAATGAATTCACTTGGGAGCAGTAGTTGCATGCTCAAGGAAAGGCATGTGGGAAGCGTTGGGATGAAGGGAAGTGGCCAGGTCAGGTTCCTGGGCTGCTTTGGGAGAAGGCAGGGACTAACACTTCCCACTACTTCTTTCAGATCTCAGCGTGAGCTGGGTGTGGGGGTAAGTCCAGAATTATTTAATGACCGTCCTTTAAATGTGACTAATGTATTTTCAGTGTTTGAGTGTGACTTCATTATTAAAATGTTATAGGAAGTTAAGCCAAAGTATCTGTCTAAACAAGCCCTTACCTCTTAAAGGTGCACTGATTCTGCCCATCCCGTGGCTGCTGGACAGGTGCTAAGCCTGTGTGCAAGCCAGTCCTCCTGCATCTCTAGCTTGCTACAGCTTCGCAGCTGCGTTGTGGAAGACCAGAGTTCTCAAAGTATATAATTGTGAATGCTCATTAGTAGACAGCTGGCTAAGTATGTCCACAGGCTGGAAAACTATATAGCTCATAAGAAGAACAAGGTGCCTGCCTCTCCGGTGTATAGCGTAACGAGTGATTACAGAGCAAGTGTGTGTGGACGGTGGTAAGTGTGGCGGGCAGGTGAACGTGTGGGAGCAGGAAGGCGCAGGCAATGTTTCTGTCCTTTCATGCTGACTGTTTTCTCCCAGTGAATCCTTTTCAAGATTCTTCTATGATACACATACAGGCAAGTGAACATCCTACCACAGCGTGGAAGGGCAGTGAGTGCATCACACCCATGTAATCAGCAGCTTGTGACACGCCCATGCCTTCTCCTTGCTCCATTCCAGTCAGGGCCAAGCAAATCCTAAACATGTGCTTTACTTATTCAGAGTAAAATTTATCTTACTTTTACAGTGAAACGTAGGTAACTTTTGTTTTCAAGAAAGGCACTCATTGCCCTCATGCCTGTTTCTACTTGTACAGATCACCCCTCAGAGGCGCCGGAGAAGCTCATCCAGGACCGCTTCAGGAAGCTGGGTCGCTTCCCTGAAGCCTTTAGCTCCATTCATTACAAGGGAACAAGGACATACAATCCCCCGACAGACTTCTCTGGGCTTCGGCGTGCTTTGGAGCAGCTGCTAGAGAACAATACCACCAGGTCTCCCCGGCACCCGGGGGTCATCTTCAAAGCCCTGAAGGTCAGTTGACTCCTGCCCTGGGAACTTCTCCCGAGGATGCCCGCTGAACACCTAGTTCTCCAGTGATCTTAGTGCAGGTGCTTGGAGGCCTAGGCTGGGAGGAGTCAGTACAGAGGCAAGCCTTCAGCTTGCCAGGGGCTCCAGGGAGGAGGGAGCTTGAGTCAGTCAAACAGCTGACAAAGTTATAGCTCAGTCTGTAGACTGCTCGCCCCGCAGGAATGTAGCCCAATGCTGGCTGCCCTGTGTCACATAAACTGGGCATCGTGGTGCATGTCTGTAATCTGGGCATTGGGGAAGTACAGGCAGGGGCAAGAGAGTTTCAGCACAGTTTGGCTGCTAATTATAAAGTTTGAGAGCACCTGGGACTCATGAGGGAGAGTTCAGGAGGATCTTTGCATGAGACTTTCTTCAGAGCAGCAGACTCTGAAATTTGGTGGAAAAATTGCAAGGGGGATGATTTCTACTGTAGAATTTGATGTTATTCAGTGTGTCACCTGCATTCATGCCCTCAATCATCTAAAACCCATTAAGTGATAGTGGGCTCACATTTTGGGAAGCTCATTTTTAAGAATTTTATCATTTCCTGTGGGCATGATGCCACAAGCCTTTAATTTCAGCATTATGGAGGCAGATCTGTGAGTTCATGGGCAGCTTGGTCTACATTATGAGTTTCAGGCTAGCCAGAGCTACATAGTAAGACCTGTTTTCAAAACAAAACAAAACAACAAAAAAGACATCCTTTTCCTTTGAAAACAGGCATATTGTGGATCCATTCAGGCACTAGGATCAATCTGTTGTTTTGGTAGCACAGTGCAGTGAAATCCTGTTGTAAAGCTCCTGGCTGTCCATTTATAGCATGTTCTGAGGGTGCCTATTGCTTTGTGAGACAGCTTGACATGGGTAGTGGGAGAGCCCTGCTCTTCAACCTTGACAGCTGCTGTGGAACCTACTAGGCAGATTCTGGCGCCCTTCATTTTTTTGTTGTTTGGTTTTTGTTTTTAAAATTATTTATGTGTATGGGTGTTTTACCTGAATGTGTGTTTGTGAACAAGCTGTATGCCTGGTGCTGGTGGAGGGCAGAAGAGGGGCTTGGATCCCCGAGACTGGATTTACAGATGCTTGTGAGTTACTCTAACTGGTGGGTGCTGAGACTCAAACCTGGGTCCTCTGCAAGAGCAGCAGCAGGTGCTCTAAACCTCTGAGCCTCCTGCACCCTCCCCCACTTTCAGACAGGGTCTTACTATGCAGGTCTGACTGTCTTGGAACTCACAGTGTAGACCAGGCTGCCCTCAGACTTAGAGATCCTCCTGCCTCTGCCTCCCGAGTGCTGGGATTAAAGGCGTACGCCACCAACGCCCGGCTTGGTTTTATTTCTTAATTATGCATATGAATGTGAGCGCAGGTACCCCTGGAGGCCAGAAGGCACTGGATCACTTGGTTCTGGAGTTACAGGCAATTGGGAGCCACTTATTCTGGGTGCTGGGAACCAAACTTGGGTCCTGTACAAGAGCAGTACCTGCTCTCCACCACTGAGCCCCAGGTCGCTTTTCTTTGAGACAGGGTCTCATGTTGTTCAAGCTGGTCTCAAATTGGCTGTTTGCAGAGGCTGACCTTGAACTTCTCTTACTCCTGTCTCTGTCCCAAGTGCTGGTATTATAGGGTGTGGTGTGGTGTGGTGTAGGATGTGTGTGTGTGTGTGTGTGTGTGTGTGTGTGTGTGTGTGTGTGTGTGTGTGTGTGTGTGTGTGTGTGTGTGTGTGTGTACAGTGTTCTGGGCCTTATCTGGGCAGGAGATCTCTGCATTATATTTTGTCTCCGGAAGTGTGCTGCTCTCATTGTCCTGGCTTACAGGCTGCCCAGTGCTGTATATTTATATTTCATCATTCATGAAGTTTTATGTAGTTTAGTATGGAATCCTATTTAAATATTTAAGTTTTTTTCCTGTTCTCTTTCTACCAAGGCTTTGACTTCAGCATAATCTTTTTTTTTTAATCTTTTTATTTTTTTCTTTTTTTGAGTTTGAGACAGGGTTTCTATCTGTAGTCCTGCCTGTCCTGGAACTTGCTCTGTAGACCAGGCTGGCCTTGAACTCAGAGATGCACCTGCCTCTGTCTCCGGAGTGTTGGGGGATTAAAGGTGTACACCCCTACCGTCTGGCTTCAACATACTCTTTTACCTTCAGTATTTATGCTGTGCTTCACCATTCTTTGTACTAAACTCACCAGCTCATCTTTGAGTACACCACTGCTTTTCTGCTGTTACTCTGTGCACTCTCTGTTGCATGCCTGCAGGACCCGGGCAGCGGGCGGTAGGAAGGGAGCAGGGGGCAAAGGGGGAATGTTGGCTTAGAGACTGCTAGGCTGAGGACACCCAGTGACTCAGGGTTGGACTTGTGGACCTGGAAGGGTGGGAAAGATAGGAGTTGCCATAAAGCTGGGTGGGTCCTGGCTTTACGCGGTACAGTGGAGCATGGTGTAGACAATAAGTGAGTTCATAATTTTAGAGTTTTTGTTTTGAGAGGTTTCCCCTGTAGCCCAGGCTAGCTTCAATCTCTCCATCCTCCTGCCTTAGCTCTTTCACCTCAGTGCTGGGATTACAGGTGTATACCATTACAGCTGGCTAGTGTGCTTAAGTTGTGAATTGTGTTCCTTAAGCAGTTCTTAAGGCTCTTTTGCAAATTCATATGTAGAAATGAAAAGTCACCTGTAGGTTGGCAGGATGGCTTAGCCAGGAAGGGTGCTGGCCCCAGGAATCACATGGTGGAAGGACAGAATCAAGCCTTGTAGTCTGTCCCCTGACTTCCAAACATATGCTATGGTATGTACATCACCTCCCCATAAACACACATCTATAAATAAGCTTAATTTAAAACCTTAGTGTCTCCATTCTTGTGTGTCGCTGCTCTCCTGCAGTACTGTGACCTGGTCTCTAGGTTTGCTAAAAGTAGTTTTCTTGCTTCTGAGAAAAACATCTTGCTGGGTGGTGCTGTCATATGCCTTTAATTCTAGCACCTGGGAGGCAGAGGCGGGTGGATCTCTGTGAGTTCAAGGCCAGCCGGGTCTACAGAGTGAGTTCCAGGACAGCCAAGGCCACACAGAGAAACCCTGTCTCAAAAAACTAAGAAAGAAAAGAAAACGATCTTGGTGTCCATGTATGCAATCATAGTATACTGGAGGCAGAGGCAGGAGGGTCACCACAAACAAGGCCAACCAATTTGGTCTGCATAGTGAGTCCTGGCCAGCCTTAGCTACAGAATGAGACCCCATCTCTAAAACCTTTTTTAATAAAGTCACAGAATGTTCTCTTTGAATAATTCGTGGAGTACTTGTGGCTAGATTATACTTACTTGTCCAGCTCAACATGTCCTTGTTGTGGCTGTGAGGTGGAAGACTGACTAGTAAACAATGCAAACAGTCTCTAGAGGGGCTGAGGCTGTGCTGTACAAAGGATTGTAACTGGTTGCCAGGAATTGTGAGGTGACTGGGCTGGGTGAGGGTTAACGAAGCAGTTTCTAGTCCTTCCACAAAGGAGCCCAACCTAATGTTTGCTGAGATCCTCCTGGAGACAGAGTGCTGGGAGTGAGTGTTCAGGGGCTTCCCTTTAGGAGTGCTGGATGTCCTAC